AAAAAAACATCAAATTACTGCTAATGGCCCTTTTGGGGAGGCTGGTTTTGGGGTATTGGCACCTTTTAGAGAAGATTGGGAACTGCAGGCACTTGGCACCACACAGCCAGCTCCTCGCTGTTGGTAACACTCTCCTGGAAAATTATAAACGGGAGTCCCCGGGTTGTCTTTTGCTCCGTTAATTAATAGGATGTGAGCATTAAAAGCGCTCCCCCGGAGCCGGTGATGGGCCCTTCGCCGCTCGTTCCGGCCCCTCGCCACCAATCCACTCATTCTGGCAGGCCAGCGTAAACACCCCGGATTTTCCTGCCACTTCCACTCCATCCCCCTGCCTCGCAGTTATTTTTCTCGGGGAAAGGATAGGGCTTTGAATTCCCGTTCCCCCGCAGGTGCTGGCGCGGAGCATCCGCATCCCCAGCACTGCTGCTGCCGGGGCCGGCCGGGCAGCAGGACCTGGAGCTGCTGCTCTCCCTGCGCTCCTGGGGCACATCCAGGGACCAGGACTCGCTGCCGGCCGTGCCCGAGGCGCTCCGGGGATGCTCCGGGCGCTGCCCCGCTAGTGCTCGGGGCTCTCCCTGTGGATCCCCAGGGTTTTCCCCCGCTTTGGGTTGTCTGTAAAACCGGGCGGGTGGTCCACCATCCCCCCTCACCGGAGGGTTTCTGCTCGTAGCTAAAATCTATACGAATTCTATGGAATTCTGCGGGCATTCCGTAGAATCGTTTTGCTTTTTGCTAAACTATCCCCTTTCCGCATGGTTTTAAGGGTTTGACTCAGAGCTGGCAGTCAGGGCACCGAGGAAACGCTGCTTTTTAATTCGGGACCGAGATTCTGGGAGATGAACCAGAGGTTTAAAATCCACGTGGCTCCATTAAAAAAGAGAGAAAAAAAAAAAAAAAGGCAGCAAACTAAGAAAACAAAAGTAGCCTCCATCCTTCTTTCCTTCCGTCCTTCTTCCATCAGGCCTGCTCGGAAAGGCGGCCTTTGGCTTCTCCCTCTTCCCAGGCTGAGCCCTGGGGAAAGTTGGGCGAATAAGTTCGCGGAGCCGGAGGGAGGGCGGCTCAGATCGATTGGCGAGTTTAATAGGATCAGGTCAGTGTAATCCTGTTTTAGCCATTGTAATTCAGGCAGCCAAGGAGACCTCAAACTATAGGGGAAGGGGCTTTTAAAACCTCAGCGGTCCTGCCACAAAGCCAGAGGCTGGGGCCGGGACAAAAGCGGCAGAGAGGATGAAGTGGCTCGAAATAAATAGATTAAGGCTCTCTATGGTCCAGGCGTAGCGGGAGGGAGAAAAGAGCAAGCAAGGGGCGGGCGAGCTTCCCGCGGCAGCGGGAGGGGACGGAAGGGACCCGGCACCCACGGGGGACACGGGGGACACGGGCACAGCGTCCCCTCCCAGGAGGAGGGGGGCCCTGCCCCCTCCCCGCCGCCCGCCTTTCCGAAGGGTTGGGGTAGGCAATCAATTTTTATGATGCGATTTATAATTCATACAGGTTGTCTTGCTACATATGGTGTTGCTTTTGTGCGTCAGGGTGCCGGGTGCTTTATGACTCGCACCGGGCGGGAGATGGATCCGGGAGGGGGGACACAACCCCGGGGCACAGCTGAGGGGTGGGGGTCCCTTCCGAGGGGCACGGGGAGGACGTTCATTCCTTCGGAAGGGCGTTCCCGAGGGAGTGCAGCCACCCTCACCCCTCTCGGGGTGTCGGGCTCAGCCCCGCTGCGGGGGATGCTCGGCGGGGACACCCCCAGCCCCGCCGGCCGCGTCCTTGTCGCAGCCCCGGGGCCAGCAGGGCCAGGTGAAAGGCACGGACACCCCCAGCTCGGCTGAAATAACGAAAACAATTAAGTGAACACAAGCAGAGCCGGGGCGGGAGGCAGCGCTGGCACCCCCGGACCGACCCGAGCGGAGTTTGCGGGGTCTCTGCGGCAGCCCCGGCGTGCGGGGACTCTGCCGGGTCACTGCGGCCGGAGGGGGCGATTTAAAGGCGCTGATGTCTTATTTAAGAGCGACGCAGCGCCATCCCAGCCCCGCTGCCGAGGGGTCGCCTCCTCCGGCCGCCGCATCCCGGTGCTGCCGAGCCTTAAAACCGCTCATTTGTAGATAAATGTGAAGCGGGGTTTTGCGAGGCTGGCTGGGGCTGAGGAGGAGAGGAACGGGCTGCTCTCCGTCCCCTCCGACTTTGGGTTCGCCGGCTCCCCGAGCACCGCAATTATTTGATCTGCAGATGTAAGAGGAATTTATTGTAACAACAAATATAGTTATGTCAAAACCCAACCTTGGATTAAAGCCGGCAGCCAAAGGGGAAGTGTATTAATTTCAAACAGCATCAGAGGCCAGTGCCTATTAGGACGAGCTATTCTTCAGACCCCCCCATCAGAATTAATCATTGGGAGTTAATTTGAAGCTCAGACAAGTTGCTGTTAATTTAGTGCAGGGAGGACGGGATGGAATAAAAAGCTGAGGTGCTGGCCGGGCCTCCTGGGTCTCATTAATCAGCGAGCTGAGACGGCCTGGCTTGATTACAATTTGCAAAAAAATTCATTAGAGCCTGGGCGATTGACAATTTTTCTCTCTGCCTGTGATCTGACTCATTAGGCAGCCAAATGAAAGCCATGATGATGGTGATGATGACAGCTATCAACCCCCTCGCTTGTTTATCTCCTTCTCCTCCGGCCCCCGGCCCGGGGTTCCCCCTCCAGCTCAACTCCCGGGATAGCGGGGGGGCAGCGGGGGACCCCCGTAAATAACTCCCCACTGCCGGGGGCTCGCACAGGGGGGGATGCCCCGGCGGGGGACGGGGGTGAGGAGCAGCTGCTCCTCCCAAAAATGCAGCGGTCACCCCGCAGGAGGGGGCACAGCCAGCGGGGGGTGCGCCCCGTTTTTGGGAGGGGGGGGCACAGCCGGCTGCCGCTCTCCCGAGCCGGCTGCAGGGCGCTGTGCTGGCCGGGCTGCGCACCAAGAGCCACCCGAAATAAATTCAGGCGGTTCCAGAGATGATTTTTTTCCGAGACAGCGCCGGGGGAGCGGCTCCGGGTGCGTTTGTCCCACGCGTGTCCCGCGGCTCCCGGCGCACAGGCCAAACCAAAAATTATTATCATCATTATGATGAATAGTCCAGGTTTTTTTTAAGCGGCGGGCAGTGCCGAAAAGGCTGGGATTGTGGAATTTTCGCGCGCTTTTCCCCGCTGCTCCCCGCGTGTCCGAGGCGGCGATGCTGACCGGGGTTGTGCCTTTTTGGGGAGCGGGCCCCCCCCCTCCCCTCACCCCCCGCGACCCAAACAAAATAATATTAACAATATTAACTATTATCATTATAATAAATAAAGGATGAAGCGCGAGCAATGTGACCCGGCCAAGCCTGGGAGCCTGTCCCGGGACCGAATGACCCCTCGGTTTAATTATTTAATAGACCTCCCCCCTTCCCCGGCATTCAAGTTTTCCTCGGGAAAATTTCATTTTTAATTCCAAATCGCAGCCGCCAATGTCACGGTGGCACCGGCACGGATAGAGCCTGGATGCGAATAATGGGGAGGAAAAAAAAAAGAAAAAAAAAGAAAGAGGAATGAAAAGGATGCGGGAAGGGAAGGGGGGGACGCGGGACCCTCCGGCCCAGACCCCTCCCATCCCCCGATCCCCCAGCGCAACGAAAACGAGCTCGGGGCTAGGGGGCAGCGTCTGGATCCCCAAAAACGGGGCTGGGACCCTCCGGGTGCCGGGGGAGGATGCGGGGGTGCCCCTGCCCCCCACCCCCCCTGGCTCACAGCTTTCCCGTCCCTCAAAACAAGGGGAAAAAAATAAAGAGAAAGTTTTCCACCCGGCTCCCCCGCCTCCCCGGCAATAAATGTGGTTTCGGAAAAGAAAGAAAGAAAGAAATAAAACAAAAATACAGGCGAGAGCAGCATCGCTCCACTCCGGCAGCGCAGGAGGAGGAAAGAAAATCAGCTCAACGCCAAATCAAATCCTGGACAGAACAGCCGGGGGCTGGAGGGCTTTCTTTTTTGTCTTTTTTTTTTTTTTTTTTTTTTTTTTTTTTTTTTTTTTTTTTTTTTTTTTTGAGGTCTTTTTTGTTTCTTTGTCGGTTTTTATTCACAAGATCTTGTTTGCTTTTAAATTTCATAACTTATAAGGAAATAAGCTACATTGAAATAAATTAAACACAATAGTGAAGATCGTGCTGCTTTTTTTTCTTTTTTTTTTTTTTCTTTGCCTTTCCCCTCCCGCCCCCCTTCTTTCTCTCCTTTAAACATGGTTTGGTAGAATAGGCAAACCAAATCGACAGAAAGCCAGGCAAAAAAAAAAAAAAAAAGAAAAAGAAAGAAGATTTAAAAACTCATTCCCCAGTGCCTGCCACTCAGCCATCGGCAATAAAAAAAGGCATGAAATGAAACTCTGAGTTTTCTTTCGATTTTTTTGTTTGTCTGTTTGTTCTCTCGTCTTTCTGTTTTTGATTTTTTTTTTACCTTTCGCCCCCGAATAAGAAAGAAAACCCCAAACGTGGCAAAAGGCGCCGCGGGTTCCGCTGGGGATGCTCCGGGGAGGGGATCCAGCGCCGGCAGCTCTGCGCCCGCCGTGCCCATTGCAGCGCCGGGGCGGCCAAAGCCCGCAATAAATATCTGTGTGTGCCCGGGGACCGGGGCGTGTGTCTCTTCCAGCCTGGGATATCCCTGCTCCGAACCCAAACAGTTTCCAAGCCTCTTCCCCTCGCCGTGAGTGGAAAGTTACGCTTTAAAGTTCGCTCGTGGTGGGGGTTTGCCATGCGCTCACGCGGGGTTTTCTGGTTTGGTTTTTTTTAGTGTTGTTTTAGGTTTTTTGTGTTTTTTTTTTCCTGATGGTGTTTTTGGTTGCTGGTTTTTTTTTTGTTTGGTTGGTTGTTTTTTTTCTTTTTTTTTTTTTGCTTCTCTCCTTTTTGTTTTTATTCGGGTGGGTCGCCTTCAAACCCCGGGTTAGAAACTTTTCCCTTTAAAAACTTGTGGCTCTGAGCGTCGGAGGAGGGAGAGATCAGGGTCGGGCTTGCTCCAGCTGCTGGTGCTGACTCCTGATCGCGAACCTGCTGACGTGCACCGGGATGGGCACCACGATCTTAGGGTTTCGGGAAGGTTCCCCTGTCTTGGAGTTGGCATTGCCCGCCTTGACCCGTTTCCATTTGGCCCGCCTGTTCTGGAACCAGATTTTCACCTGCACCTCGCTGAGTTTGAGGGCGTGAGCGATCTGGGACCTCTCGGTCAGGGACAGGTACTTTTTGCAGTGGAACTCCTTCTCCAGCTCCAGCAGCTGCTCGCTGGTGAAGGCTGTCCGCCTCCGCCGGTTCTTGCCCGTGGACGTGGTGTTGGTGGAATTGGGGGGGTTCTGGGGGTTTTCCTCCAGCGCGTTGCCAGAGTCCTCTTCCTTGTGAGCCGCCTGGCCGGGGATGTTGTCGTCCGAGCTATAATCGAGATCGCTGTCCATGGAGAAACTTTCCTCCTTGCCTTTCGCATCCTCCTCTGCTTTGGGGTCCTCCTTGCCCTGGCCCCGGAGAGCCCCGGCTAGGAAAAAAGCAGAGGCCTCTCGTTAGCATCCCGCAACCTCCGTGCTGCGGCCGCGGCCCTGCAGCTCCAGCACCCACCCCCCAAAATTCATTAATTGATGGCTTAGGAATTTTTTTTTTTCTTTTTTTTTGCCGGCCCATCTTTCGGTCGCGTTGCTGTTATCGACAGCTTTCCCGAGCGGCGGCCAGAGCTCAACCCTGCCTCCCTCCCTTCTCCCGGGACCATCCCCGTCTCCTGCCGGGGGTCCCCCCCATCTCCCGACCACCCCATCCCGGGCACTCACCCAGGGAAGCCTGGACGGCGTCGGCGGCGGGGAAGGGCAGGAGAGCCCCGTCCTTGCCCAGGAAGGCTTTGCCATCGTCGCCGCCGCCGTCCGCGGGTACGCCCTCAGCTTTCTCGAAGTTGCCCGCGGGCGCGAACTTCCGGGCGGCCTCCTGGTGCTGCGGGGAGGCGGGGAAGGTGCCGGGCAGTGTGGCCATGAGCGTGGAGGTGAGCGCCATGCCCTGGGCCAGGCTGGAGCAGAAGCCGGAGGGCAGGCTGGGCAGCTGGTGGTGGTGCGGGTGCGCGGGGGGCAGCGCGGGCGGCAGCGCAGGCGGTGGCGGCGGCGGCGGCGGCAGCACCACGGGCCGGTAGGGCATGAACATGGGGTACCCGGTGTACACGAAGTGCCCGGGGGCGGGCGGCGGGGGGCTGCCGATCAGCGAGTCGATGCTGAAGGCCGTGCTGCTTCCCAGCGGGCGCTGCATCATCATCAGCGAGGGCTGGAACGCCGCGCTCATGCCGGAGCGGCGGCGGGAGCGAGCGAGCGGCCACCTTCCTCCTCCTCCTGCTGCTGCTGCTGCTGCTGCTGCTGCTGCTCGGCGGCGGCGGCGGCGCGCTGGCTGCCCTCAGCGCGGGGCAGAGCCGGGGCGGAGCGGGTCCGCGGCCCGACAGCTCCCGCACATCGGGGCCGCCCCGCCCGCGCCCTGCGCCCCCGCCGAGCCGCCGCCGCCGCTCTGCCCGCCCGCGCTCCCCCGCGCCCATTCACATTTTGGCCGCTTGGGAACCGGCCCGCCCCACGTGGCCGCCGCCGCAGCCGCTCATTGGCCCAGGCGGGCGAGGGGGGGGGGGTTTGGCGCGCCGGCCCCGCCCCCGGCCCCGCCCCGTTCGCGCGGCCCGGACGGGGCGGCCCACGCGTGATCGCCCGCGGGTAACTGCGGGCTCGGGGACAGGCCCCGGGACACGCGCGTGTGTGTATGTGTGTGTGTGTGTGTGAGTGTGAATGCCACCGAACCCCCAGACACACACCCCTTGGTGCCTCAAACCCTTCCCTTTTTTTGTTTTTTTTAATTCACGCTCCCCCCCCTTTTTTTCCCTCCTTTTTTTTTCCTCCCTCCTTTCCCCCTCCTTTTTTTTCTTATTTTTCTTTTTTCTCCTTCTTCCTTTTTTTTTTTCCCTTTTTTTTCGTGTTTTTTTTTTTTTTTTTTTTTTTTTTTTTTTTTTTTTTTTTGAAAAGCCCCCAAATAGGCTCCATGTGGTTCTGGGTAAAGTCAGCCCCTGGCTTGGCTTTGAAATTGCTTCTGCAATTATGTAAAAGAGCCATTCAGCAACACGGCGGAATTAAAAGCGATGGAGGGGCTGCTCCCTTTTCTCCGGCGAGCTTCTCATGTTGGCCGGCTCAAAGCCTTTTCCAACACGATGTCTTTGGCGAGGACAAAAGCTGGAACAAAAAAAAAAAAAAAAAGGGGGGAAAAAGAAAAAAAAAAGCCCCCAAACTTCTAAATTGAACGTCAAGGGAACTTTACACAATATCAAAGGCCATAAATAATGATAAAGGGACCAGGCGAAGAGGCAAACCCAGGCAATTAATGGAGGTTCCCAAGCAAAGATCAAGTGGTTTGGAAAATAAAATTAAATGAAAAAAAAAAAAAAAGAAAAAAAAAAAGAGGGAGAGGGGGAAAAGAAGAGAAAGGAGGGGAGTTGACTGGGGGGTGGCATCCCTCCTGCCTTGGGGAAGTTGAAGTCTTCCCGGGACAATGGCGCTGGCTGTGCCCCTGGGCTTGGCTTTGGGGGGCCTCTGCGGACAATCCCGGCCTCAAAGCGGCTTTCGGCCGGGGGAGGGTCCCCCAAAACCTCTGGAGCAGCGGGAGATGCCGCTGCTGCCGGGCCTGCCGGCTTGGGAAGCTCGCAATGACCTGCCGCTGCTTCCCAGCTCACGGATGCCCGAGTTTGCCGGGGGAGGCTGGCATATGTCGGGGGGGGGCTCGCACACCCCGGTGACACCCACACGGCGGTGACAGGGGTGGGGACAGCCACGCTCCGTCCCCAAATCCGACCCCTCTTGGCCAGCCACCCTCCAGACCCCCCGAAACTCCCAGGGCACAACTGCACATCCCACAGCACCGCCCCAAAACCCAATCCTATGGGATTCGGGGTCCGCACCTCCCGCCCAGCGGAGTTTTCAGCGCCCCCCCCCTTAAATACCCTTTCCATGCTAATTCCCACTCCCAGATCTCGTTGTCTTCCCCGAACGGGGGGCTGGGAACTGCCCCCGCCCCGTGCCCGGATATCTGGGTCAGTTTATCCCTCAGCCACCATCTGAAAGCGTTCTTTCCTCGGCAGAAACAATTAGGGAGGGCTTGGCGGGGGGGGGGGGGGGGGGGGGGGCAGGTTATTACTTTTGGGCCTCGGCGCAGATTGTGCTGCCCAGTTCCGCATCCGGCTCCCCATCCCTGCTTTTTTTGGGGTGCTGAGCCCTGCCGGTCATCCACAGCGCGGATTTTGGGGGTTCCCTCTCCCCCGGGGCTGCGGGAAGGGTTTTTCCCGGAGGTATGGGACGGAGGGTGGATGGCCCTGGGAGCAGCTGCCGCTGGGGACGGGGAGGGGGGCTTGTGTGATGTGTGTGCGCAAACACTTTTGGGGCCCATCTCCGACTTCAAGGGACTGGGAAAAGTTTACTTACCCGGCTCATTTCCATATGTCCTGGCTCCGTCTTGCGGAGGCCACCATATGTGCAGCAGCGCGCCGCTCGGGATTTCTTTTTTCCCAGCCCCGCAGAGGGTGGGATTTTCCCCGTGGATGCTTCTCGGCCGCTGTTCCTCTCCCACGTTTTCCCCTTTCCCCCTTTTCCCGTGCTCCACCAGGCGACTGCAGCCCTGTCCCGCCTCCCTCCCCTTCCACCCGGCACGGACGGCACCGAGCTAAACCCCAAAACCCCTCCAGCATCATTCCCAAACCGAGCGGAGCGGGCTGGGAATCCTCGCGGGGAGCAAAGCTTTCGTTTAAACGCCAAAGTGAGCGGGGAGGGGGGAAAACCAAATCCCTCTTTTTTATTTATTTTTTCAGGAAAACCCCGCTCGATTGCGGGAAGGGCAGAGATAATTAGGCGCGGTAATCCGGCGGGGCATGGAAATGTGTACCAACACCCCGCTCCTGCAGCTGTTTTTATTGTCAGCCCCCTTCAAAATTTGCCCACAAACAAGTGCCTTTGCAGGACGGCAGTATTATTTCGGGCAAGAATGGGCTTTTTGTTCGGCACATAATTAGCTGATTTTTCTCCCGGAGGGGAAAAAAAAAAAAAAAAAAAAAGGAACAGCACCAAAAAACCTCGGCGATCCCTGATTGTGGCAGGAGCAAGCGGAGCGTGATTGTGCAGGAGTGGGGGGAGCCCCGCGGAGGGACCCCCACACCGCAAGAGCCGTCCCCAGGGGGGGATAAACCCACGGATTTCGTGGAAATCATCGCTCCAGAGGGTCGCGCTTGGTTAGGGGAGCCCCTTTCCCCCCGGCTGGGCCGTGGTGAGGGACCAGACCTAGCCCCAAAATCTTGAGATGTGGCACCAAAACGCCGCTCCCGTGTCACCCGGAGTACCGAGGAGCAGGTGGCTTCTGGCAGGTTTTGTCCCCAAAATCCTGGCCAGGGGAGCAGCATCGGGGATGTGAGGACATCTTGGAGGCGGGCAGGTTTTGTGGGGTGGCTGCGACCCCTTCCTGGAGCCACGAACCCCCAAATCAAGGCAGGGAGGGGCCGTAGCTTTGGGGGGCGAGGAAGCACAAGGAGGGGGCAGTGAAGGAAGGCTGGGATGTGCTGGAGCCCTTCCAGGTGGGAATGCTCAGGGCAGAGCATCCCTGCAGCTGGGCCTGGGAGCTGCCGGCTGCTCCCGGCCCCCCGGGCACCTCCCGGCTGCATTTCCTCGGGATCGGTGCCCATCCTCCCGCTGGGCACCACGCACAGGGGACGGCTCTGCTTCCAGATAAACCCCGTGGCTCTCTCCAAAGCAAAGCTCGGGCTTCCAGAGGCTCCCTCCAGCTAATTCTTGCGTTTGCCGGGGAAATTTTAATCGCGTGGGAAACGTCACCAAAACCACCTCACCCTACAGTGCTTTGAGAGGCTTTTTCCTTCTTTCCCCTAGGAAAGGGAGGTGAGCAAGGGAAGAGACCCTGAGCAGAAGCACCCCTCAAAAATCAGCGTGCTCCTAACGATGCAGGCATCAGGTGCGAGCCAAAATCAGGGATGCAGCCGCGGGGAAGGGGGAGTAGCTCCGTGTGTGGCTCCGGGTCCGTCCCAGCATTTTGGGAGCTGGGAGCAGGAGGGCTGGCGGTGCGGGAGGCTTCGGGATCCGAGATTTACCCTCCGGCTGCTCACGGAGGGATGGATGCGCCCCCCTCCCCACGCGTGCCCGCGGGGAACCCCCTCCCCTCCTCCGCCCTTCCCTTCACAGGGGAACAAAAAAAGCAGAAAAAACCTAAAAAAGCAAAACAATCCCCAAACCCTTCGCGTGTTCCCATTTGAAATCCTTCCAGCCCCCCTGCGCCTCAGGCTCCCCTCCCGGGGGTTCCCCCCACTTCCACGCCATCCTTCTTTTATTTTTTTTTTCCTGTGTTTTAATTTTTTTTCCCCATCCTTCCCCCTTTATTCCCCCTTTTTTCCCCCTTTTCTCCTCCCTCCCCCACCCCCTTTTTTTCAAACAAACTTGAAGGTTCTCGGGATTTTCTAGTAAGGAAAAAAAAGAGGCTAGAAGGGTAGAAAACAGCACGGTGCAGGTTAAAAAAAGAAAAAAGAAATTTGACGTAAATAATCCCGGCTCTTATCCCGAAATTCGTTCCGATAATGGGAAATAGGCTATTTGAAAAATTATTGGAAATGGATACATATCTAAACAACTGGAGTCCGAGTATTTTAAGAGCCCTAATCAAACACATCGCCACGGAGAGTTTAGTGGTGGCAAACCCCACGCACTCTCTCATTCCCGGCTTTTCGTGGAATCGAGTTGAGAAATACGCCGGTTAAAAAAAAAAAAAAAAAAAAAAAAAATTAAAAAAAAGAATTCCCGAATAAAAGTCTAAAATATTCCCAGGTCAGAGGGGCACCGTCTCATTAAAACCAGCGCGGTCCTGAAACTGCACTGCAGACATTAAAGTGCAGTATTTTTCAATTAGAGCTGACGAATTCAATCAAAATTCCATAGATTAGGATGAAATGAGGCATGGGTCATTTACAGGGGAATTTAATTGCAGAGCCATTAGACAAATAGTATATTTGCCATTCTCACATTATCCATCATTTTAGACATCAATAGAAGGAGCAGCATCTTTACTAATACAGCAGCACTTCCCAATCTCTGCCTGTAAACACTCCCTTTCCCCATAGCTCCTGATTATATCTGATTTCATTTAAAGCCATGGGGGATTATAAATGTTCCTGCAATCAGGTTCATTAGGACTTCAAAAATCTCATTTCTGATTCGCATCGCTTTGCGGCTCACCCAGCGCAGCCCGCGCTTAAAAAAAAAAAAAAAAAAAAAAAAAAAAAAAAAAAA